TACAACTCTTTTAGAGCTTGGAAATAATAATCCTCGTAAACGGGTTTATACGTAAGCAAAGAATTTATGAATGCGAAGATATCTGTGAATTTATTCCAGGCTTTATTAATATCTGAATAGGCAATTATAGGATCATTACATTCCATCGTCATTCTTGCTTTGATCATGTTGTTCACCATCTCACCACGTACCGGATCCTCACGTACTTTTTTTAAAAGTTCCCAGTTACATGATTTGTCAGGTAGTTGAAAGAAACGCAAATGAACAACATCTTTATCGATACAGACATATAAATTGTCACGAAACGTGATGTTGTGATATGTATAATTGCTGCTAACAATAGATGTATCATGAACATGAAGTATCGCTCCTTTTGGCATACTACGGAGTAATTGAAAGACCTTCGATCTCTCGATATTCGTTTTTACTTCGAGGAAATTTCGTGAAGGGGCAAACTGATGAGGATCTTTAAAACCTGAAAAATTTATAGAATCTGCTAAATAAAAGTAAGTCTTTTAAATAAAAGTAAAAACAAGAGGATTTTGAATTCTTGTTATTTTGCTCTAATGACAATAGAAATGGAAATAGAAACAAAAAAAATTGATAAAGAAACGATTTCCATTGTTCATGATGAAAAACAATTCTCTGTTGATCAGATATAAAGTCAATATAAGTAATAGAATGCATAGTTAAGTAAAATAATAAGAACAAGATATTACAGTCAGATATAAAATGATAGTATAGCCATCATATAATTTTCATATAATTGTTTCTTGAATCTAATATATAAATCTAAATTATGCACATATATTCATATAAATTTTTTATTTATTTAACAAAGATTATTTAACATAGAAGAAGATCAGTCGCAGTTAATAACATTTCTTTCTACAAATTTGAATCGTTTTTGAAAAATTAGTAATTATTAAGATAATTAAATGAAATGTAATTTATATTTTACTTCGTATTTACGCTCTAGTTCATTCCTTCTATTGAATATAAAATTATGGAAAAAAAAAAAAAAATCAAAGATTTTATCATTTTATTGAAATACATGAAATACATGTCTCTTTCATATTGATAGGGAAATTGCAAAATATTCACCGATAATTATCATAATTGAAGTACTAGCGATAAGAGTTTTCTTTAAGAGATTGATTATCAACTTTAATTTTATTTAAAAGCATTTTTATTATATTTGTATGATTGTATCTTTTAGATATGTTTGAATAATCTTAAAAAAATTATAGGATATTTTATCATTTTATTTCTTATTGTATGTATTAAACAGATTTTTGGCTTTTTACATTATTACAAATATATAGGATTACATTTATTCGAATTCTATATAATTGATTGAATTTACTCATCCGAGCTTGAATTATTTGAATTATAAGTAATAAGGAAATCGTAAATTCTTATTATATGAACTTCAGTTATTTGAAAGTGTTTATTCCTTTGTTTAAATAAGTCAAGTTTTATTGTACTCTATCGACCGAACGCGCAATTTTTCAAGATATTATTAAAATTTTAAAGAATAAAAACAAACCAATGTATAATTCTTCTTTCTTCGCTTTCATTAAAACTTCGTTGGCAACTTTTTCAACGTCGTTCAAAATCAGATTAGCACCTATCATCAACTGCAAATCGTGCTCCAATATTTTGTCTCGAAGGGATGTATAATTAGTAAGTGGAATAGCAATATTCACAGTTGCATGACCGAGCAATATCATAAATGAAAGAATAAATTTCTTCATGATTAGTGATTTCTATTTAACGAATACTCTATGTTCAAGGTAGCCGTACGAGAATAGCAATATTAGAGATCCGAACGCTTTGACTGTTTATACTCTACTGACTAATCATTTCTACCAAGATGGTTCTAACAGCACTAACAACTTTGAACAGATGGGTTGAACGCATAAAGCTGATGCTTGTTTAAGTATCAACGTTCATCAATCAAATGTCTCGATTTTTTGTCTAAGGGAGAAGGAGACCTCAAGCTGAGCATAACTGATATAGTTTTTATCTCAATCAAGAATCAGTGCATATTATCAAAAATCTTGAGATTTCTCTTAGATTTGTAACATGAAAATATATTTTTTAAAAAAAATTGTTTAATTATCAAAAAAATATGGTTATATTCTATAAGAATATAAAATTAGTTCAATATCATACGTTGAAAAATGAAAATTTATTTAGAATTTTGTTTTTATATTGGAATTAATGAAATGTATTTACTATTCTTTTATTATTTATTAATTGTAATATTCCATTATATTCCATAACATTGCAAAAATGTAATTACACAAAAATATATTCAAATCATTATTAATAAATATTTCATATATAAATCATTATAAAATAAATATTAAGACTGAAAAAAATTAAAATATTTATTGAAAATCAATAGTGATGGAAAATTGATTTCACGAAAAAAATTTGTATCAAATAATGCTTAATATAATTGTTTTGTGGTTTTAAAAAAATATTGTATAGCACTCCATATTGTTTTTATATCTTATATAAAAATATAAAAGAAATAATATTTTAACAGATACGTCGCATACGTCGACGGTAAACTTTCCGTTCAAGCTATTTGAAATTTTCATAAAACAGAAATCTTTAAAAAAATTTATTATAAAATCTTCTAATTTATTATAAAATAATATATATCTTTTTTTTTTTGCATCTTAAACTGCATATCTTGATAATTATAATTTTTGATAATATTTTAAATATTATCTTCAGAAAAAAATTATTAATCATGATAAAGTGGGATAAGATAGAGATCCATTGGCTTGATCAAAAAGTTACCAAAAATTGATCCAATTAAATATTAAGTTAAAATTAAGTTAAAATTTTTGTTCATCATTGTACGTTTCTACTTTCATTGCAAATATCCCATAAAGAATATTTTTATGTGCAAATATTGTTCAATATACATGTACAATATATATATATAAATACATATCTAAGAAGATAATTATTGCTTGTGTCTGTATTTACATTTTACTATATTTTATATAAATGACAAACAAAATTTTCCTTTCAATTCAATATTTTCAAAATTACAATAAAATAATAAAAGGTTCATAATTTCGTTATAAAGATATACAAATTATAAGATATACACTCATCCGTGGAAAAAATTTATTTTCACTGCAGACATCTTATTTTGTTACAAATTATAATCGATTGGTTGAAAATGTTTAAATTGCCGAGAAAAAAAAATATAGAATACTCGCAAAATTATTTTAATAAAGTTTAAAATTCCCTTTCTTGTTATTTTATTAATTTATAATACTAAATTTAAGCAAAAAAATATTCTTTCTTTCTATAGGGATCTATTAAAAATTATTGTTATGTGATGGCTGAAGAGAAAGCTTCACTATATTAGATTTCTAGTGAATGATAGCAGAACATAATTTAAGGCACTTTTTGCTGTAAGCACCTTAGATTTATATAAATATTTATTTATTAATTACATTTTAAAATATGTGTAATTTATCAGCCTTTCACTATAAGGATCGATTTGTTTCTTCAATAATATGACAATAATATGTATTACGTAAATAAGCATTTGTCAAAATAACGATGGTATTGCAAATAAAATATTATCAATAACATTGTCGAAATTTTGCAAAATGTACACGCATATTAATCAATTTTGCAATTATTTCCGACAATCTGTTTAATCCCATTAGCTTGTTATATCATATGTTATAAATATCCGTTTAACTACATATATAAATTTTCATTATTTTTATAATTTCATTGGTACTAATATGTACAATGATAATATATACTTCCAAAATATATCGATGATAATAAAATAATCATTATTAGAAATCTAATAACTATCTGTTGCACCCACGATGAATTTCTATCTAGAAATAAATAACTTAAGATTTAAAATTTTAATTAAACTATTTAAGTAATCGTACCTAATACTTCAATGCACAAACGTGTGTGCATCAGTAACATTATTGTCTTATTGTTTATTTTATAAAAATGTTTATAAATGATATTTGTAAAAAATTATTACGTCAAATTGTTTCAGCCCGATATTTCGATGATTATTTATAATATTTTATTATTTTTAACATATACGTTTAGAATATGAAGAATATTATATTTGGACCAATATTTTTACGTCATAAATATTAAAAAATAAAATTAATATTTTTTGTTTTATGTTTCAAAAATGTTAGTAATTCTATATACGTTTCTATATATATAATATAATTATTTATAAATCATCATATAATTATGATATAACTTGACTTAATATAATATAAATCAGTTAACAAAAATAAAATAAAACACAAAAAAGATATTAATATTTAATAAAAATCGGTTTTAAATGCAATATATAATATAGAAGTTATATAAACTTCATTAACATGAAACTATATATTGCATAAATTCTGAAAAAAAAAATCACGAACATTTTATTTTATAACTAAATAACTATTTTCTAAACAATATAATTATAGAAAAGATATTTTTTGAAATAAATATTCTTATTAATGAAGTTTATTAATAATCTATAAGTATATAAGTAATAAATTAATATTTGTCCCACATCATTGAAAGCGGATATGTATGTAAACATAAGTTTTCTTGACCAATCGAATATCTTTTGCAGTTTTATATTCTTACATTAAATCCTTCGTATGTCAATTCATTATTTAATTATTATATTCATTCTGTCCCACGCACTTATAATATTTTTAATTGTAATATATAGAACATTTCATTCAAATTACTTATCTTCCATATTTATGTTGCTATTAACGATATAAAAAAATGTTTCAAACAAGTTTTAATTCTTAAAAGTAAAGCATTTCTTTCTATCGTTAATATTAATGAAAATACTTCAGATGTATAAATTATATGAAACATTCTACATTTTATTAATTGAAAGTTCTATTAATAAGAAGTCAGAGTTATCTTTATTATGCATATTTTATAAATATCGCGCTCAGTATCTTTGATAAAATTTTTAGTTTTAAGCTCTACAAAAAAATAAAAAAAAAAGGGAAAAAAAAATTCGTCAGTTTTTACAACTTTTAAGAATTTAAATTAAAGTATAAGGGAGATTTCTATTTTGCATTAATCGAACTTTTATCTTTCTAACGTGATTCTATAATCAACTATCATTAGCATACGATTTTTTGATAATATCTTTTCATCAAACCACCTTATCAAAGATCCCTGAGTATGAAGCGTCAATGACCAGGACATCGAAAAAATATAAATCCTCATCAAAATGTTGTGCTATCGTTTTAAAAATTTTGTTAATAATTCCTTCCAATCAAAAAGTATTTTTAAAACAGTCTTAAGAAATATAATATACCATTTAAACTCAATCGCTCGTTTGAATTTGCAATTGTAGCGATTCAAAAAATCTTGAAATACATCAGATTTTTTATATTTAATATTCAGTTATTATAATTCCTTAAGGCTCGAATCAAGTTCGAATATAAAATCTTTAAACAAGATTATAAATGATGCCGATTGACGGCCAAAAATGCATTATTCACAAGATAATGATGATAGCGATTATTATGAAATTACGTTAAGAAGCTTTCAGTGATTTATCTGCGTGTGCTAATGTGAGAGACCCTATGAGAGATACTAATGTACGGTCCAGCCATGTTATGGGGTTTGGATATAAAAGACCACCTTCATAAAATCCCAAATGTCCGCCATGAGCCAGTTCTACATATAATGTATTTGAATGATTTTCTAAAAAATTATAAAGAATGTATATTAAATTCTAGTATATTATAAGTATATACATAATGACTATAATTACTTACTGGCATATTCCTTAATAGGTTCCAACAATTTATCAGGTACAATAGGATCATCTAACGCATTAATAAATACCATAGGTGTCGCAATATTATCCAAATAGAACAAAGAACTACTCCATTTATACATTTCTTTTACAGATCTAAAGTTATGGACCTGCAATAATAAATATTCAGAATTAACATTGTTATTATATATAATTTATAATATATTATAAAATTTATGATATATTAAGAAATATTTTACTTTTCTAGTATAAGCTTCATCAAGTTCTGGTAAAGTTGCAGCAGAAATAATATCCCATTCGTTTAAATTACATCTTTGTTTAATTTCTTCAGATAGTAATATATTTTTATGTTTAAGTATAATATTCTTTACCGATTCAGTCATTATATACAGATAGAAACGTCGAAAGTTTTGCCAATTAAGTAGGAACTTTGTACCTCTACACATAGAAAAGACATTTTATAATAATTATTACTTGTAAAAAATTTATATTTATTATATATAATACAATATACATATTATACATAAAAATTTACACTTACTCGATAGCATTATATCCTTGACAAATAGATATGCCGCCAATTATATTGGATAATTTATTTGATCCTCGTTCTCCTAAGTACTTAGTCACAAGATTACCACCCAAGCTAAAGCCAATACAAATTATTCTTGTATTTGGATGCTTCTCTATCAAACTCTGTAGCATCATATGATAATCATCAGTGTGTCCTGTAATATGTAAATCAAGCTAAAAATCAATTGCAAATTCAATTATAATATCATATTGATTATTTAAACTACATACAAGATCCTTAAAACTTTCATGACCCATATACTAGTTAATAACTAATAATACAATAATTAATAATGTTTAAGGCTTCTATTATGAATATTATGAATAAATGAATATATTTTCAAAATTTTTAAAAAAGTTAAACTCGAAATATACTTTCTAAAATATATAAAATAAAAATAAAAGAAAAATATACAAATTTGTTGTAAAATCGAAATAATATTATATAAAAATCTTGTAAATTATTTTCATTTTATAATATTTTCATTATTTGATTTATCAAACGTTTTAATTTATAATCTCAAAGAGGAAGAGATACAAAAAATAGAAATAAAAATAGAAATTAAACATATATTAGAGATTATTTATATTTCTTATGTAATAATATTATCTAACATTAAATAAAAATAATATGGAAGACTTAAGTTGTGGAAAAAGTTAACGATTAATCAACGAAGATATAGTGATCATATAATAATCTGTAACAGTATAATTAATATTTTTATGTGATAATTGCATAATAATTTTCTTTTTACGTACCATAAGTAAAAATTCTTGGAGCGGTGACTTTTACACTAGAAAGAACTCCAACATGATTAAGTACTGCACATCGATATCCATGGCACTGTGCAAAATGCACGAAAGTTCTGATATAAACACTTTCGGAACTATTGCAGATCCCAGGGCAAATGGCAATTGTTATATCATCTATAATAAAATAAAATGTAAAAAATTATATCAAATTTATAGGTATATTAAAAATTATCACATAAAATTCATTCATTATTTATTATATTATTTTTAATTAATATTCATTTTACATTTAATTTACAAACATTTAAATTACCATAAATATTCATTACAATTGTTTTTATCGAATACGATATTTTATCTACATTTTTATATATACGATATATTTTATCTATTTTTTTTATTTTTTGCCTTTTTATTTTACAATTTTATTACTTCATTACAATTATTTTATTATTTTTATAATTACTATTAATCTTAAAATTATATAACAAATAAAGCAATAACTTCAATTAAATTGCGAATCTATTAGTTATGATATTCTTTCAGAATATCTAATCCTATCTAAATTTAGAACAATATGTCAGAACAATTTTATTTATATTATAATATTGCATATACTGTACTTTTCAATTTTCTTAATCTTAGTTTGATAGAGTCACAAAATGATTTATACTGTTACTTCAAAGCATTGTATTGATTCGTGAACTATGTTATTCGCTTTAAACTTAGAATGTTCAATCTTTAATCTTTATTGAATTTTAAGCGACATGTGTAATAGTTGAATTCGAATTCGAAACCATTATAATTTTTATATTCGTTTAATTTAATTTATACTCATATCATTTAAGAATTAACATAAGTGAGAGATTCTTGCTTTACTATTCTAGTATGTTAGCTTATTTTTCAAAATCTATTTTTAATATGATCAGATAAATAAGAAATTACTTAATAATACTTTTTTAGACATTATTTATATATTATTTTCAAAAAAATCTCATAAACTAAACTATGAAACAAACCTTCATAATCATTGCTCAATGGTTGATAAAGATCGTAGGTGAGTGTAGTTTCATCCGCAAGTCCAATATATACTCGTTCTCCAATCGGCCAAGGGCAACGTACGCGCCCAATAATACTATGAACAATGGTTTGTACATGGCCGCTGAAACCCCATAATCTTGTTGGTTTATATCTGAAATACAAAAATATAATTATAAATAAATGAATAATTTGCATTTCAAAGATCTTAGCAAAATCATAAAAGAAAAATGTGTTATTTTTTTAAACATTGTTTAACATTGTTGAATAATTTTATGATTACGTTTTTTAATGATATCATGAATTAGCATATTTTAGAATGTATAAAGAATTATGCTTGTAGTTATAAAAAAAAAAAGAAAAAAAGAAAATAAAAATGAAGAAAATTATAACTCCATATAAAAAATGAAAAAACAGGTCAGGTTTGAAAACGATCATTATTTTAAGAATGGCCATACACACAGCTAACAACCATAAATTTCTTTTCAACACTTACATTTCTTCCTTAACCTGCAATTTCTTTTTGGATTCGTTGATCTAGTTCTAAACATTATACAATACATATTATGCTTAATTTATTTTAAAATATGGGAACAACCGTTCAACGTTGTGAAAGTTTCTTCTTTCTTGTTAGTTCTATGCAATTTTTGCCCAGAAGAAAAGTGAAGTTAAATGTAGTAGCGAATTATTAAACCTTCTTTCTTCTTGCAATGTATAAAGAATAGTAGATCAGTGGAGCATATACGAAGCCGTAAAAATCATTGGTACTTTAAACAGTACTTGTGGAAAATGTAATTTGCCCCCTAAGTGGGACGACAAATAAAATCGTTGAATTATTTCTATAGAAAATACTTCTTTGTATGGCTTGAACCAAAAATGTTTATATATCTTTTATAGTTTTCAACATTTAACATATTATTAGTTATTAAATAAACTGTACAAGATTATACAAACGAAGTCGGTAACAGAAAGATTACCAGTTTCTTTTTCAGTCAAAGTAGGCCGAGAAGTAAAATTTTATTATAATTTCTAGCTATGTCAATATGCTATAAAATCTTCGAAGAACGACACCTTTTTACTCATCATGGTCTGATCACAAAAAAATATTCAATAAGTTATACATTCCTATTGGATTACGTATATAGAATCTCTTAGTAATTAAAATTTATATGAAAAAATTTTTCGATGTAAGTTATAAAATTTTATCATATTGTATTTTTTCTATTTCTATATGATTATATAGTATAAATTTAAGTATAGCATTCAATTAATAACACGTATCATTTAATATCATGTGAGATACTTAAAAATAATTCTTACAAGCGAGATAATCTTGAAACATTGATAATTGAAAATAAAATAAAAAATTATTCTCTGTGATTAAATTAATGAAATTTTGTATGTTAAAAAAAATTCATAATATCACGCAGCAAGTGAAATTTATTGTGTAACGATTGATCGACGAACGAGGTACAATTCTTTTCGCTTCGATCGTGAAGTATCAATTTGCATTCGTTTAATAGAGAAATATTTCTCACGATTAAATAAAGAGAATTACATACGATTTAATGAGTTGCTCCCAAAATAATTTCTTTCCTAGAAATTTCTTTACATGTAATATCAAATAAACTTTGATAATAATAAGAAAAATCTTAATAACATGCATAAATATAATTAATAATATTGGATTATTAATTTTTAATTAAATACATAATTTTTAATGAAAAGAAAGTGCATATTTCTTATCATTCTTTCTATATCCGCGAATTTACATATGTTTCTTGTGCGCTTACTCGAAGTCATGGTCAGTAATCGATCTAAGGTCAACAAATTAGTTTTTCCATGTTCAATGTATTACGTTAAGAAACTTTAAAACTTTTCTTTTATAAAAGAAAACTTTAACATAATAACGATCGATAAGGAGAAATAAATTGTGAGTCAGTATGTATGATTCAATTTGCAGTAAAATTAAGTATTTCCTTTCAACCGGAAAATAATCCATTTAATTAAAGTTCTATCATATCAGTAGGACTTTCGATTATCGCGATGTGAATATTGCTTTCGAAGATGATTCTATGGTATGCCATTACGAAAAAGGATTTCATATTACGGAAGTAAAAGCGAAAGCAAAAATTACTAGGAAACGCGATCACTCGATAAAATACAGAAAATCTTCCTATGGAAATGCTTTGATGAATAGTTGTTATGTATGAGTTAATATTGATTTATCTGGCATTTAAAGTACAAAAAATATTTATATTTAATCAACAAAATAAACTGTATTTTAAAAATGAAGATTTTAAAATACATGAAATCTTTAGTAGAAAATTAGAAATTAGAATTAATATTAGAATTATCAAATTATATGAACTATTTATTTTCACATTATATATTATTTTAATTCTAATTAATTATGTATTTAAACGTTACAAATTAAATCGTTAAATCTAATAAATATTTATAAATGCATATTGATATACAAAATACTTTTTTTTAAAACTTTCTAAGAATTAATGAAGTCATGATTAATTTCATGACATTTTAAGTTGCATGCTCATAATCATTTATTTAAATTTTTCATAGGATGTGAAAAAATAAATCTTTTAATATAGAATTACGATTTCAATAAAAACAAAATATATGAATGTAATTTTTATTTTTCAATCCTTTGAAGTAAATTTTTTAAATTATTTATCCTTATTTATTTTTTTATTTTATTATAAATAATTTTTTTAAGAAAAATTTATGAAATGTTTTTTCAATAAATATTTTTACCCATTCTTTTATAGAAATAACTTAAAATAAAATACGAAAAAAAAAAATATAATTTAATCATACTTGTAAAAAAAATTTATAATAATAATTTATCAAATTTTATTTCATTTATTCTTGTCCGTTTTGTTAATTTATCTATTAAAAAAAAAGAAAAAAAATTATTTTTATAATGAATTTATATTTAAACATTATACAAATAATCAGTTCTTCATTTCATATTTATATTAATATAAAACATATTTATATTAATATAAAAAATGAACATGAATCATCTTGTGATAAGTTTATAATATAGTCATAATCTTTTGATAAATGTGATGAATGCATATTGAAGTTTCTAAAGTTGCTTAGTGAGGTCATAGCCAAGATCAGAACAAATCATTATGCAATATTCAAAATGGAAGAACAATGCTAACAGTTATGTATTCTATATTGTTATATAGACTATATTATTTCCATTCTGTCAGTTTCATTTCTTTTATACTCCTTATTACTTTTAATAATTTGCATTTAAAAATGCAATTATATTCATTGAAGATAAAATCATATAAATACGAAATTGTAGATAATTGTAGATATAGTATGAGATATATGGTCTAATGAATAATATTAATAATATTATTCATTTTATTTTGAAAAACTGATTAATTAAAGTAGGCTTTTAAAGAATAATTAACATAAAGTATTTTTTTTTGTATTTGCATATAATTATTTAAATACCTTTTGCTAATTGTTTAGAAATTTAAAAGTAATATTATTATAATTAATTATGATTTTTTAAAAACATATATTATTATTTATAATTTAATATACTATTTTTATTGATTAATCATTTAATCATTTGATTTTTTAATGAGTAAAAATTATTATCAATATGTACTAGAGCAATTATATTTATTATTTAGGTACATTATATAAATATATACATATAATATATAAATAGTAATAATAAAGTTTATTGACAGTTACTTTCAATAATTATTACGAGATAATATTATATTTTTTATAACGCATATTTTATAATTAAAAAGATTGATAAATTCATTGTCTATTAGTGAAAACTAGATCACACCCTTGCTATAATAACCAAAATAAAATTTTATCTCCCAATTGTGTCTGGTAATCTTCGCGAATTTTCGATCTTATCGAACGTTAAATCATTTTCAAGATATTTCATTATCGATTTATGAGATATAAATCTAAATTAAAAATAAATTTATCATCTTAGAAAATTTTCCACATGTGGTTCTTAAGGACGTTAAGAAAAATGTCCGGCATATTTAGAACTGATCTAACCTCACTTTCTCTCTATGGACACCATAGAGCGAAAGATTTGGAATTTTGCATGCAAAATACGTGATATAATTTATCAAATGAAAAATTGTTAGAAAACTTACGGTTCTGTGATAACAGGTGCAATTTTAAGGATTGTCGTAAGGAATGATTGATCTTGACAGATGACCAATGGTTTTTGCGGTGCACTGTTTACGTTTAATATCCTAAACAGGATACATAGAATTACGGCAAACACGGCCAACAATGCCGTGGACATGTTATTCTTTTGCTTTGTTACGCCACAAAAATTATTCTTCCTGTTATCGTACAGGTATTGACGTATGAAAAGGAACGTTTGAACTGATTGTTCCACACTCAGCAATATATGCTGGAGGGTTATGAAGGAACGACTGCTGTTGCGTTGACGATACTCAACAACGTGATACTCGCATTAAGGATTGTATCCGACTATTTCGCGTTTGTTTTACCGGCACTTCTTGACGGTCGATTTGCGCGTGCCTATCAATAGTTAAGTTTGCGAACCTCCATCTGTCCGTATCAATTGAAACTTCAATTCATATATAGACAGGCTATGTTAAACCAAATCAGGCAGATAACAGAGCTAAAATTTTCAGATGATGCTGTCTTAAATATAAATAGTTAGAAAGCTGTATTTCTAATGCCATGAATTTTAGTTCATGAGACTATTTTGCTATTCCGCTAGCATTATCGGACTACTTTTCTTTCCTCCATTTCTTCTGTTATTTCTACAGTATGAGTTAACCATAAATGCATAGTAATTTCTTTAGCTATATTAAAAATACAATTCCAAGATTAACTTTAAAGTTCTCCCTGAAATTAATACTTGAATAAATTTCCATAAGAATTTATTATATATATAATGGAACATTATATTAGTTTTACAAAAATACTTCAAAATTAAGATTAATATATTTAATGACATTTAACATGATATATTTAATGATGAAAAAATTTATTCATTAATCATCAATTTATATTCATTATTATAATTTTTCTATAAATTGATTATTTTTGTTTTATTCATTAATAAAATTTATACTATATATATCTAAATTAGATATATTAATTAACATAATAAATCTTATAATGATTAAATATTATCATTGAAGTTACCTTATTTTGTAATTTCTACTTTAAAATATTTCACAGCACAAAATGAAATAATATTGAACGAATGTTTTCATAATTGTAACAATTAAATTTTAATATTTTTTACATTGTTATAATAAATGCAATTTATATGTATAAAAATTTCATATATATGTAAAAATATTCATATATCTCTTTCTCTTAAAATAATTTTATCCTCATTTAAAAATCAAATATATTTTTTAAGATTACGAATACTTTAGGAAAGAAATTAAGAAATATGCCACTAACTGTGTTACTAACTCATTATTTTATTTGAAATCTTTAAAAATTTAAAAATATAAAACATTACTGAGATAAGGTCAAGGTCGTTCACTTCGATCTATTTATTGTATCGATACTTCGATAATTAATCGATGTGGAAACGATATCTATTTCATGACTCGATATTTAAAAATACGATTATCGTGCAGTTTTAAAAATCGCATCATATATGTTGTTCATATAGTTATTTTTTTCGTTTTCGTGCATCACAATAAAAAATAATTAAATTTAAGAGTGTTATATAGATAAGAATATTGTTATAATATATATATAAATATATATAAAATATTCTTTCTGAGGAAATTGAATTAACGAATGTGATAAAATATGTGATACTTTGAAATGAATGTTCTATAAGTGAAAAAAGAATATTCAAACATTAATTAGATTTGAATGAAATTATATTATTAAACATGCTCTTTTTTCTTGATATTTTAAGATACATAATTGCAAGAAAGTTAAAATCATTAATATAACCAGTGTACATATACGTTCCTTGGAAACCATTATTGAAATAACTATGTACTTAGTAACGATTTCCATATAGACGTGATGATATAAAAGTTTAATATTTTTTTTTCTATTATTGAATTCTTTATTTTGGGAACATATAAAAAATGCGAGGAAAGAATAAAAAGAAAATGGCCAAAAATTACAACAAAAATTTAAAAAAAATGAAAAATAATAAAAATGACAAAAATAACAATGGAAAAAATAAAGAAGCAAAGAGATCAAGAAAGAGTGGAGGAAGAACAAAATTCACCATGGATATTTTCAATGAAGAAGTCATGGAAAATGCTTATTATACTTGTCATAATATTATGGATGTAATAAAGTGTAGAGGTTTCCCTTGGCCTGAAGCTCAAAAGAAGAAAAAAAAGAAGGGGAAGAAATGAATACTGTGAATCTGCAATAAGGTATTGAGAAAAAAAATATATTTTTTCATTTAAGATTACTTGCATTTCAAATATAGAAGTAGAAAAATACATAAAAATAAAAATAACAATAATATAAACTATACTTCTTATATAAATATATCTATATCATATCATAAGTATATTATAAGTATTCTGATATTGTATAATACAATATCAGTATAACAAAATATCTTAATAGTTAATCATTATTCTCAATTTCCTTTTCCATTGTCTTAGTAATGAAACTGCAATATTGTTTTGTATCAAATTCTGTATGATTAATCATAAATGGCCCATTAAATACACAATGTACTGTAACTGTCTCTGAATATTGTAAATCAGGTAACAACTAAGTAGAAATAGAACAGAATTATTAATCAGATATTCTTATATTTAGATAATAAATAATTAATAGAATACCTTTGGCGTAAGTAAAAAATATTGAGAACTATTTGGTCTTCCAGTCATTTTTACAAGCAAATTAAATACTCTTCTTTCATTTACTGCATCCATACCCTATAATAAAATTAAATATAAAAAAAAAATGATAATTATATAAATTTCATTATAATACCTGATTAATTTCATCCACACAACGGAAAGGCACTCTTGATAATTCCTGAAGTGAAATCATATAAATAGCAGTAGTCACAGCTCTTTCTCCACCACTTTGATGATGTCGCGTTAATTCTTGCAATTGATCAGTATCTCTAAATTTTACTTTAATTTTTAGACCATATTGGTCAAACTCCATCTAAGTATTAAATTTTTTAAAATTTTTATAAGTTTTTAAATAATAAATATAATATTTTCCATATTTAATTTTATTTCAAGATAACTCACATTGTTCTCTGGTTGCGCCAAAATAACTTCACCAGCACAACCCATTGCTGAGAAATACATACTAAAATTAGAATTAATTTTTTCAATGGTTTGTGACAAAGGTGTTAACCATTCTTTTCGTAATGTTTCTATGCTTTGTGTAATTGTTTCTAATTCATGTGTTTTTCTTTGAATAATATCTTTTAATTGATGTATATCTTGCTCTACTTGTTCATATTCATGTAATACCTGAATTTAAAATAGTTAATAATGATATTAATTATTAATTATTTTTTTCGCAAATTTATATTTATATGAAATTTTTCGAAACTCACATTTTCACCATCTATATTATTTCCCATACAGAATACTTTTGCTTGCGCAATGTTCAATTCATTATTAATCTCTTCTATAGTTGGCGGTAATTTATTAAATACTTTATTTATAGCTGCAAATGCATCATCTTGAGGGCTAATACCATCGGTAGTTTCTAATGCTTCATTATATATTCTCTCAACTTCTTTTCTCAGTGGATGCAGTTCAGAGATAAATTGTTTTACTTTATCTTCAGCTGCTTTAAGTTTTTCTCTCAAATCTTGAGAATCGTTTATTTTTACTCTTAAGGATTTATTATGTAATTTTAATGCTAATTCAGTTTCTTCACTGGCTGTAATGCATTTAAAACAATCTTCTAATTCAGTATTATATGCCTTATAAATTTTTAATTGTTTATCCATAGTTATCTACAAAATTTATATAAATTTATATGTTTTTTTAACATAACATAAAAATTAATTATTTAATATTTAATAGAACCTTTATTTCATTAGCAGAAGATTCTTGTATTTTCTCAATACTGGTTCGCTCATTTTGCAGATCTACAATCTTTTTCTGTATCATAGATATTCTAGATTTTAGAGTTTGTATTTGTTGGAGATCCTGTTGATATTTGTTTCTGCTAATTCTATATTCATCTAACTCCTTATTTTGTTCATGTACTTGCTCGTCAATTTGTTTAATTTTATTAAATACATTACTTTTCCTTTCTTTTAATATTTTCAATCTAAAAAAAAAAATTTCAATAACAATACATTTAATTTACATTCTATCTATATGTAAAATTATTAACAAACTTTTCTTCAACGTTTAATAGTCTTGATTTATCTAATACAATAGATAACATTCCTGTACTTGATACTGGTTGCATTCCAATAGATTTTTCTCCCGTATATTTAGATCTATTTACCATGTACACATTGTTTACTAAAAAATAAAATATCAAATATTATTAATTTTATTTATGCAAGATATCTGCTAACGTTTATCATTATTTATGCAAAATATCTGCTCAATGCTTATTTTTATCTTATATTACTTACCACTAAAATAGTAACGTATATTATTAGGTATATGATCAATGTTATTATCAACTTGATTTGTTCCTACAGGTATGTTGTTTAGATTATACATAGCTACTAAATATTTCATTATAATACTCGGAGCTTCAATTAATGATACTAGATAATGGGTAAAACCAAATTGTTCAATATGGTGTAACGGAACTGCCGGATTCATAGAAACATTTCTCATAGGATCAGAATGTACAACATTTACTTGTAATTTTTGCTCGTCTCTTAAATAATGCAATAACATATTCATATCTCGTTTATTTTCACAGACAAATGCTATCAAATCCCTAAATGGAATAACATTTTCCAAATATTTTGCATATGAAGCATCTTTTACATTTATATTAAGCAATATCGGTTCGTGTATTGTACTAGAAAATTTATTTTGATTTTCTCTCAACCATTGTACTGCTTTATATGTATCAATACTTCTTTCCCTTAATAATTCTAAACGTTTTGTTTCAATGTTAAGAAGTTGTAACTCTGTTTCTTGAGCTGAAAATTTTATTTTATTATTGAAATAATAATAAAATACACATGAAAACAAAGTAGTACAAATAAATCACCTCTAATTTCAAGACTTAAACGTTCTTCTTCTTGTTTTAATCCTGAATTTTTATTTGTTAACATGTTAATTATATTTCTCTTGTTTTCTACATTGGATAATATTTCTTGTCGTTTTTTCATTAAATTTTCTTCTGTAAAACATAACATATTCTAAAAGTGTCATAATATATTGATTTAGATACAAATACAATTAAAATAAAACAAACCAGATCCAATATCTTTTAACATTAGTAATAAATCGTTATCAAGTTTGTTTTTCTGTTGTTGTGCAATATCAATATCGTGATCTCGAGCTTCTTCCATTTGAATTTTATGCTTGCATGTATTTTCATAATCTTTAATATTATTTTCACAATCTAGAATATCATCCATCATTTTTTTTAATTTTGTATTTTTGATCTTAATTTTATTACTCTAAAATTGTAAAAACAAATTATCATTAGATTATATAATTAATTATTATCTTACAACTCAAAATATGATTTTACATGATCTGAAACAGAATTTTGTAATTGTCCAATTTCTGATTTTATTTTTTCTATTGCATCATTAATAGGTTTTATGTCTTCTTCTAATGATGTTACTACAGATACTGCAGTTTCCTTTTTTTTTCTCAACTGTAATAATTAACAAAATATATAGTAATTAATTAAGAAAATTATAAGAAGATTATAATCATAACTATTCCTTTTATAATTTTTTATTTTTACCTTGAGCAATTCTCTACGTTTTTGATCATATAATATCCATGCTTTTTTCTGTTTTAAGCTAATAATTTTCTTCTTTATTAATTTCTTTTCTTTTATACTACTAACATTTTCTTTTAAACCTTCATATATTTGAGATTTTGTTTCTAATATTTTCTTTTTGCTTTCAATCTCTTTTTCTAAATCTTTATGATCTATCCTATATTGTATCAAGTTTTTGTGATGTTCTAATATTATGGGATCACCAACTGATCTTTCTGTATTTTCTAATAATTCTTGTGCATTCATTTTTGAAAAGTCTTGTACTTTATCTTGTGGAAGAAATTGGCAGAGATTATCCACCTGAAATTCAAAATAAATTAGAAATAATGATAAGATTAATTTAAATAAAAATTTTCTTTAAGTACTTGAATGTTAAAAGTTTTTATTAATTCTTGTATTTCTTTAATATTTGATGGTCTTTCATCAAGGAACCATAAAGATTTCCCATTTATATTAAATATTCTTTGAATGACAACATCACTCTTTTTGCCATTTTTGAGGTGAATTTCAATTTTTGCTTCTTCACACCCTCTTTTTACATAATCAGCTACATGAATGGCACGACCAATGGTACTAGGTTTACCTCCTAACCCAAGTACAATGGCACAAACAATTGTTGATTTACCAGTACCATTAGGACCAATAATAACATTCAAATTTCTCCCAGGTTTTATACAAACTTTATTATAAGTTCTGTAAAAATATAAGAAGTTTTTTATATTTATCTTTCTTATTAGAATTAAAAGCTAAAAAAAATTAATTGATACTTACACAAAATTTTCTAAATAAATATAGGTAATTATACCTTTATTCATACTATCCATAATGCCACTTTAAATAAGTTAAATTAATTCATTGATGAGAAACAATTATTTAAGTAATCATCATCAAATGTTTTTTTAATAATATCATAATATTGAAATAATATAATTACTAAATATAAATAAAATTAAAATGAAAAATTTTACTAATTTATTTATTTGTACTTTAGATTATATGATCCATTTTACATGGATGAATAACATTCACATAACCTATTCAAAACAAATGCACTCTGTTTCAAGAAATATAGTATATGTTTATATAGTGTGGCTACTTTAAAGACTATGTTAATTATTTAAAACTATTCTAATTATTTAAAAATAAGTAAATTATATATAAAAATTTATTTATTTAAAATATTAAAAAAATATGTATATTTTTTGTTTAAATTTATAATGATTAATATATTATGTAAAAATCTTATACGATTATAATGAATATAAGAATTATAAAATTTATTATCATGTTGTAATTATATTATAATCATTGTGTATATATATATATATATATATATAATAATAATAATAT